CTATAAAAGAGATGTTTAATTTTACCTTTTGTCAATATATTTGTGATTCCTAACACTATGAATTGATCAAGTGAAATTTATAAATTTTTTATTTTATGGATAGACATGTCTTAATCTTTAAAATAAAATATAAAATATAAAATTTACCAAATTAATAATGACTTAAAAATAAACATCTTCTTCTCTCGGAGGTTCACTAAAGATGAAAGAAAAAGAAAAATTGAATCTTTCCAAAAAATTTATGAACGAATTTGAAAAAATGGCATAAATAAGAATGGAATATTTAAATTTGTGAAAGTAAAATTTTTAAAATATGGACGAGAAATAGATGAGTAATTTTCACAAATTACGAAAATCACAAAAACCCATACATCACCAACTATTTAAAAACCAGAAGTGTTTATATAAAATTATAAATTTACAGAAATTTGAATAAAAATGTTTCTTGCAAGTTGCGAAAAAAAAAAAGAAAAGAAAAGAAAAAGTGTCACCCTCACAACTCAGCAGGGAGAGAATTTGGTGGGGGCCACACGGTGGAGGAGCCTTAGCCTTTGCCCTCAGGGGTACTGAGAGAATCGTAGCTGGCATGCACCGGACCGGCCGGCTCAATGCCACGCTGATCATCTGTCAGACAGCACATCATAATAATTATAATTATAATAATAATCCGACGTGGCTTTCCTCACGCATTATGTAAGGGTTATTGAAACCTAGGCAAGGGCTTGCACGTGCAGCTGTGACTCCCTCTGCCACCACTTTACCCACTTTGTCTCTTTTCTACCTTCCCCAACTGTCCATCCTTCCTCCTATCTTATCTAATTAATTTAATTTGATTTTGATGACCTCTTTATTTCACTGTTTATTTAAACTTATGTAAATCTTTTCGTTCTAGGGTCTTTTCTACAATCTTAAATATGGAAAATCAATTCTTTTTTTAATATGGTTTAGCACTAGTATAGTTGGTTGCAAGTTTGAATTTCAACTTTATAATATTTGTGACGTGATATGATTTTTTTTAAAAATATTAGTATTTATATTTAATTTTTTATTTCATTCTTATACTTCAAAGATGTTAGTATCGTCAAATATAATTTTTCAAAGGTACACATTATTAGTAATTAGACAAAAAGTGTCGATAAGTTATTTTTTCTTATGAAACATAGATGTTAATTATAGTAGCCATCTATTCGGAATTAATTTGTATAATTTTTAGTAACCAAATATAGTAAGGAGATTTTGAGGTGCAAATTGATTCGGACATTTGTAAATATTAAAAAAAATGATTTTGGGACTCAAGAGTGAATTCAACCTTAAAACAAGATTATCTAACATTTTTTTCCGTTCAAAAGGTAAAATGCAATCAAAATTCATATTTTGAAACCAATTTGAGTTATCAAACCTTTTAAAGTTATTAAAATGACGTGTGTTACATCATCAAGAATATTTTGAAAATCAATAAATAAATTANAGTTTCTTATTTGATGAATTATAATGTAAGTAGATATGGATAATTATGAACTTTTTTAAACATGTAAAGACAAAAGTTAAAAATGGCTAAATTGTGAAAAATACGTTGAACTTTGTAATTGGTTTAAAAAAATATTCTTTATCTTTTCAAAATATCTTAAACTTTAATAAACATTTCAAATACCTTAAAAGAGAGACGTTTAAGTAAATATTTTGTAGGAAAAATTTATATTTTAAAAATATTATAAAAATATTTATAAAAAGTTAAACGGTAGTAATTGAAACTTTTGAAGTACATATGTGTGTTTTTAAAATAAATGACAAAATTTGTAGGAGGATGTTTGTAATTTGGCAAAAATTAAAACTAATTTAACTCAAAAAACATTACTCGAAGTTTCATAAAAAATAATATATTGTACAATGAAGTACGAGGGTGTAAAAAAAGATTTTCATAAAATGACGGGCATGTTGGGACACGTGTGACGTGGAGATTGGATGGTAGGTATTCCATTTCTAACTAACCATGACGTGTCATACATACGTCCACTCGCACGTGGTCCAAACAGGGCACGCCGCACCATTGATGGATGATGTGCAACTAATTTTTTTATTTTATTCTAATGTCTCGGCCTGCTTTTCCCTTGTTTTATAGTTAATTATACTGATTTTTTTTATAAAAATTATACTGATTTAAATATACAAAATCATTTAAAAAAATTATACTAATTTAAATAATTTACATACATACAAAAATCATCGCAACATTAAAAATTATTTTCTAATATTTTTTAAAAGATATCCGGAGACCATGGTTATTCAAAATGAATATGGGTACTTTTATTTAATTCTTGATGACTATTTTCTATCCAAATATAATATATTTCGACATATAATCTACTTTGTGTTTCTTGGATTCATACTTCGTGTACTTTCAATTGTATATAAATATTTATTTGTTAAAAGTGATGAGAAACCTATAAATGTATTATTTGCATTGATATTCCTAAAGATGAAAAATATAGAAAATAATAAAATTTATTAAATATTATCGTATACATATATTATTTCTTAGTTTTCTCGTGGTTTCTAGGAAAAACTTCATAAATGAATAAAAATATTTTTGTAATTTTGGATAACTTGCATTAGAGAAATAATTCATAGGGCATCAATGAATATATAATTTGACAAGAGATAAGTTATGCTTGAAAATGACTATTCAAGTGAAATAGGCTTTTGGGTGATGCACTCACTTCCTTATTTAATTAAAAAAATTATTCAATTGTGTTGTGCACATTTTGTTTCGTGGCATGTTAGATAAAAATATTAATATCAATCTAGGCATAGTTCAACCGGTTAAAGTATTATCGATCAAAAGATCGAGAATTCGAATCGTCAACCTATCCATTGTTGAATCAATAGACTTCATTTTCTTGATCGGTATATGTCAAATATCAGTGAGCTATCGTTTTGACCCTCGTTGAATTATGTTAACAATTAACATCGACAAAAAAGTGATATTTTGAATCTACAAGAAGTTGTACACGTGTGAAGGAAGCGTGTGTATGGGAATTTAAAGAAAGTATGGCGGCAATGATTACAGTTAAACATATCCATTGGTGCACTGAACACCAACCGGAGCAGAGTGGCGTTTAACCAACACTGCCGTGCCATTTTGTTTCGCCTATCGAGTGATATGGGCCCTACTTCCACGCAATGATGAGGATCTATAAGGACCATTTTTCTTTATTTCTTTTTTTTTCCTACTTTTCTTTTGTAATTATATTTATGATTCGTTGGTCCGTGTCTAATCTTATAAATAATAATTTTATTTTTCTGTTTATAATCAAATCATTCTTTCTATCTGATTTTCTGTTCAATGTTCATGTAATAACTTCTCTATCTTTAATAGTTTAATCACTTTTTTAACATTTTCATTAAATATCTTTCTAACATTTTGATTAAGATAATAAACCAAGATTACGATTAATTAAAACGAATAATGGAAGGGCATCAAGGAAAAATTATTTATTTTATTTTCTGTGAAAATAAGAAAAGGCATGTGTATGGGAATTAAAAGGAATTTATTTATTAAATTAAAAGTAGAGTTAAGGAGATGTATGGACATGGATGTAGACATGAGATGTGAGGGTGTACGCAAAAGCTGTAAATAAGTACAACCAAACATGTCCTACGGAGCTTCAACATATCCTCCATTGCACTCATTCATTCCCCACTATTTTAAATTATAAAATCATTTCCATATCTCATTTTATTGAATGTCTTTCTTCACCCTTACAAATAATAAAATAAGGCTAAAGTATTAAAATGCATATTTGAATATTCTATTTAACTCAATCCACCAACTTAGAAAGTTTGAGCATGTGTAATAAATTTTGAATTATGTTAGTCTTTAATTATCTCTATCATATTATCAATATTCGATTAAGATATATATTATCTACTAAAAGGGTGAAGTTTTGAATTTTTCCTCTCATATATATATATATATTTATATTTATATCTTAATATTTTGAATAAGATCCCACGATCAACTAAAGTTTTTATCTTTTGAAATCTTAACCTAAAATGCTTATTTTAAAATGAATGTTGGAGTTAAAATGTTTATCTATGACATATTTGAGAGTAAACACATTTAAAAAAAAAATAGGAAGAAAATTCATTTTGAATTACAGGTATGTTTGGAATTTTAAAAATATAGAAGCACAAAAAATGATTATATAAAATCCCTCAAAATAATGATGTAAGATTATGTCCTCTCATTTCATTTTAAAAAAATGGTACATTATGTCTTGAGAAAGTTTACAAATGAAATAGATATAAAATTAAAAGACCACATACATATATTTTTAAAAGATATAAAATTACAAATCTGAAGGAAGAGATTTGATTTTTGATTTTTTACTTAAAAAATGAAAATTTTAATATCTTAACCAACAAAATTATGCTAAAGTTTGTACTAAATATATAAATATATAATTTAAGTGTACATGAAATAGGAAATATGTTTAAACTATAATAGTATTGTAAAGAATTTTTTGTCGAGTAGAGGAATTGTAAATATTGAAACTTACATTAAAAGTTGTATTGATTTAAATCAATTCTTTTACATATTTTAAATTAAAATTTGATATATTTCACCCTTAAACCAATGTAAAAGACATCTTATAACTTTAAATTATAAATTTCACTACTTTATGACTAATATTTTAAAAAGAGAGTATTTTTACCTTATCTATTTATTTTAAAACTATTAAAAGTGATGTGAAATTATTCATTTTGACGATTCCAAAAATATGTTTTCAGACCCTTTTGTTGAATATTATTATTTTCAATAATGTAACTTCACGTGAGGCCGGGCCATCCTTCTTGCAATTACCAAGAACGTGCATTGAACTTCCTACAGACAGACCACTACAAGGGAACGTGGACCTCAACGCAGTCCACCAATAAGAAGCCTCCACCATTTCGGAGTGAGCGGCTACACAGGAGAATAGCCTATGAGTTTAACGGACGAGAATCGAGAAACGGGGTGGTTAAAAAACGATTAATAAGATGACGATGAGAATTTGGGATCCAAAGGGCTAAACATCGAATATTTGTGTGTGGCTCTGTGGCTCTACCTCTCGCCGGGACGGAGAAGCGGAGGAGGAGGTGGCGGCGGCCGCGGCGGTGCTGAGGACTGAGGACGAGGAGACGACTTAGCGTTGTGGAATAATCAAGGGAGATTTTCTCTAGCTCTCCTCTCCAATTTCTCTCTTCCTCAAACATTGCTGCCCTTTCGATTTAAAACGGGAATTGAAGGTGGAGGGAAGAAACTATTTGCTGTATTTCCTCTGATTCGATCCATCAAGTTCTTCCGAATTCCGCAGAATCTTTTGGATATTTGTCCTCTCGGCGGTTTCCCCCGCTGTTCTTCTCATTTTTCCGGTACGCGGCTCATCCTTTTCTTCATCTGTTTGCTTATTGTTTCTTCGTCTATTGATTTTAGGTTTCTGAATGCATCGGAGATGTGAGAAACAAACGAGATTTGAACTTTCGGGTTCTACTTTCGCATCGTTTGATTAGTGTTTCTGTTCGTTTAACGTGTTTAATCTGTTATCTCAACGAACCTACTTATCTAGGATTTTGGTAATTTGAATGGATGTATTATGCGTATCTGGTGCTGTTTTCCGTTGGTTTCGTCGGAACTGTTTGAATCAGAGTTATTAATTTCTATCGTCTGTGTGTGTGTGTGATTAGTGAAAGGAATAGTGGTATCGCGATGCCTCTGAGAGGCATAATTCGTGAGCAGAGTGAAATACGAGAAGGCAGTGGGAATACATCGAGAAAATCGAGGGAGGGAGTTCAAATGCGTCACCTCGGGAAGTCGCATATTGTGCCTGAGCAGCCTTCATCCTCTTTTCCGGTTCCGTTTGAACAAAGCCGTTGGGCAAATTTGCCTCCGGAGCTTCTCCTTGACATAATTCAGCGTGTAGAAGCGAGGGAAACCTCTTGGCCTTCCCGCCGGGATGTTGTTGCGTGTGCTTCAGTTTGCCGGTCTTGGCGGATGGTTACAAAGGAAGTTGTGAGAACTCCCGAACAGTGTGGCTGGATCACGTTCCCAATTTCTCTTAAGCAGGTATTTATTTTCCCCCAAATCCTTCGAGGTAGTCTTTGAGTTCCATAAGAAACCGGGGCTTTAAAGTTTTAACCTCTAATTCTTCTCTGTTTTTGACTTAATTTATTAGCCGGGACCAAGAGACACCCCAATCCAGTGCTTCATTAAGAGAGAAAGGGCAACTTCAACGTTTCGACTCTATCTCGGGCTAAGCCCTGGTAATTCTCTTTATTCTTTTTCTTTTTCTATCAACGATTTTTGCCTCTCTAGAATACCCCTTCTCCATCGAGATTGTGGATTACGCATCCTTTTTGTGAAATTCATTTCCGTAGAGAATAAAGCTTTTTTTGTTGTTGCCATGCTGAAGCTTCGAATCAAAGTGTTTCAGAATATGCAACAGCTGCACTATCATTTTTTATGTAATCAAATGCCCTTTTTCTTGATGAAGTTTGAAGTAAGTTGTGGAGCCGAAGCCATCACTTTGTTTAAAGGGACAATGTTAATTAACATTATTTGGAGGTTGGGTTAAGTTCCTTTAATATAATAGGTTGTGAAGTCGAGCATAAATTTGATATATGATTTAGTTATTCAAGCTACATGTTTGCTAAGGTAAAATTAGATTTTTGAAACCCGCCTTTCACTTTCAAGCTTCACGCTTCTTACAAATTATAGATATAAACTTCTCACTCAGGCAAAACTTCCCCTAAAATTTCTAAGTTATACACTAATTTCTGTGGCCTCAACACGATATATATTAATCAGATTGTTTATTTCAATTACAGCCCTGTCCGGTAATCTAAGTAAACTGTTGCTAACTGCAAGAAGAATCCGGCGGGCAATAAATACACAGTTCATTGTATCGTTAGTTCCAGACGATTTCTCTCGAGCAAGCAACAATTACATTGGAAAGTTAAGGTAAGCCATAGCCATAGCTTACGCTGGTTTATGTTGCTGAGAACTGCAGACGGTTTGTTTTGTTTTTAATCAATGAACTGAAAGTTGATACGATTGATCAGGTCAAATTTCCTGGGGACCAAGTTTTCAATTTACGACAGTCAGCCTCCGCATGACCAAAAATTGCGAACTGGTAGAACTAGCAGATTAAAAAGAAGAATCCATTTGAAACAGGTCTGTCCAAGTAAAACTGCGACCAACTATAAGGTTGCTGCCGTAGCGTTCGAGCTCAACATCCTCCGGACCAGAGGTCCCAGAAGAATGAGGTGCACCATGGATTCGATACCGGTTGCAGCGGTCGAGGAGGGTGGCACTGCCCCAACACCAACAGAGTTTAAAGACGGTATGAACGAGCATCATTCTTCCACATCAGTTTGCAAAGGAAAGAAGCCGATAACCGAGTCGCCGGAGCCTCAGGAACCAATAGCTCCATTGGTATTGAAGAACAAATCTCCGAGATGGCATGAGCAGCTACAGTGTTGGTGCCTAAATTTCAAAGGGCGTGTCACAGTTGCATCGGTAAAGAACTTCCAGCTGGTTGCTGCTGCGGAGACGAATCAAAATGTGTCTGCAGCTGAGCAAGAGAAAGTGATTCTGCAGTTTGGAAAGATTGGGAAGGATATTTTCACGATGGATTATCGGTATCCTCTCTCAGCTTTCCAAGCCTTTGCAATTTGCCTGAGTAGCTTCGATACCAAACCAGCCTGTGAATGACCATTACTCAAAACAAATTGGCTCCAAAATTTTCCAATTGTATATATTATTTTGGGAAGAAGCTTCGTTTTAGACATTGTATTCAGTAATCAGGCAACAATCTCTGTGATGATGGTTGGGTAGTAAATTATGAAATGAGCACAAGCTCCAAAAATCTTTTTTCATCTTTTAGCGTATTTGGGATTGGGATGACTTTGAAAAAAATGCTTTTAAAATTAAAACACTTTTTCATAGTTTACTTGGTGCATTTTGAGAGTAATTTGGTATGCCTACAATTACTTGGGTTAATATCAAAATCACTTCTATTTTAAAATGAACATGTTTGCTACAATGATTTTATTTTTAATTTTGTTTGTTCTCCCTAAATTTTCTATTAACATATAAACTTTTTTATGCATACAAAAATCCCATATTACTTGAAAACTACATACACAACATGAGTACTAGAAGAGGGGAAAATTCTTAGTAGTATTACGAGTACCATATTTCCTTTCGTTCACCACATTAGCATTGATGTTATGACTTATAAGGTCAATTTCTTTTAAATAAAAGGTAGTATGGTACTCTCGTAGTACTGAATTATTTTCCCTCGAAACAAAATACATGGCTAGTCTTTAATTGGAATTGCATCGAGTCCAATGGCATCAAGATACACGCCAGATCTACCATGGATCCCAACCACCTTCATCCCAACACTTGGAAATGAGAACTTGGTTCCATCTTCAACTCCAAACGGTCCATAAGTTCTTTTGTTGGTTTCAACAGTCAACGATCGAATCACAGTGCAATTATATCCCCAATAATGTACATCGTCGTAATATCCATGAATTGTAACAACATGCTCATCTGGAAAATCCAGAACAACCTACGATATTCCATGACAATTATTTGATTCATTAGAAAAAAGGAAAAAGAAAAAACTTAGATTATTGAAGGATTTGGGCTAACCTCTGATGGAGAGCCTCCATTTCCACCATGCTTCTCGGACCACACCAACTCCTGGTTCTCATCCTCGTATTCCATTTGAATGGAGTCCACCCAGAGTCCATGATAAATCACCAACTTTTTCATTTTTTCAAAACTCTCATTCCAAGGATCTCCGCCTTCTCCTCCACATTCTCCCAAGCTATATTTCTCGGGACCATTTCTGCGTGAGCAGATGAGTTAGAGTACGTTCTCCCGTGGATATGAAAAATTGTACAAGATCAGAAATGTAGAAATGAATATAAATGGATAGGAAATGACAATACATGAATTCGAACCAGGCCTCCTGCTCTCAATTCATGATAAATTGGAATTTTCTCCCTAGTTTCTCATCAATTCAAATGATACATATATATACCATGTTTGCCTAAAACCAAAAGAAAGAAACACAATGACAAATAAAGAATATCCCTATCTTATCAAAATAAGCTCTTAATTACTATTATATTCAACTCTAGTCATAATTCATTAATGAGAGTTATAATTTCACATTAAACTTTCTACTTTGTTGTTTATATATTTTGTAGAGATAACAATATATTTATACCTACCAAAGCGAGTCAGTGTTAATTATCATGTATTAACAAATTGGCATTTGTGCAGAGATTTCTGATTTCTGATTTCTGTATTTTGTATCATAAAAAATTTATGGCAAGCTTACATTTGAGATCCACGTACGAAGAGGCCAATTGCATCAAGATACAAGCTAGATCTTCCATGAAAGCCGACGATTTTCAACCCCGTAAATGGAAATGAAAATTTGGTTCCATCTTCGATCCCAAATGGCCCATAACTTCTTTTACTGGTTTTCAGAGTCAATGATCGAATCACAGTGGCATCAATGCCCCACCTACGTAGATTGCTGTAGTAGCCATGAATTAGAACAAGATGCTCATCCAATTCCAAAACAACCTACAAATTTTTTAATTCAAAAAACAAACCATTAATTATTGTTGTGCATTTCAACCTATAAAAATTATGGGTAGAGAGGAAATTGATGAAAGATTTTGGCCAACCTCTGATCGGAAGCCACCACCGCCACCATGCTTCTCCGACCATATCGATTTTCCTTTCTCGTCTTCATATTCCATTTGAATGGAGTCGATCCATAGTCCATGATAAATCACCAACCGTCGGATTCTGTGAAAAGTTTCTTCCCAGTGATCTCCACCGTTGCCTCCATATTGTCCCAAGTCAAGGCGCTTGGGCTGGGCCTCAGGCTGAGGCCCAATTCTACATGAGAGAATATTGAGTTATTATGTCATATATTTTATATTTGAAATTTAGGAATAATAACGTAACTAAACATATTTAGGTATTTAATTACATAAATATTTAAAAACTCTACTATTTACAAATTTGTGATAATAGAAGGTTGTTTATGATCGATATATGTGACAATTACAAAACTATCCACGGATCATTTCTTTTTCTAATAAATAATTTAAATCTTAAATGCTCGACCTACCCAAGACAATTTCTTATTTTAATAAATAAATAAAACTCTAAATCATAAGCCCTACAAAAATAATATACGTCCAAAAATTTAGAGAAGAATCGCTAAAAAATTAGGAGAATTGATTAGTTACTATAATTGTTTAATTATTTATTAAAATATTATCATTTAACCAGTATTTGCATTAAACTACCCTCCATTTCTACTGGGAAAGAATATATTTTAAAATATAATAACAAATGTAAAAAAATGACACTGAAAGCAATTTGGGAATGAAAAAACTTATTTAAAAATCCTAGGAATTTAGATTTGCAAATATTTTGGAAAATAGATATTTGTGAAATATCACCTGTGACAGGACAAAACAATTTGTGAAAAATTTAGCGGTTTAATAATTTCAAACATAAAAAGAAAATTAAAGCTCAAAAAGGAGAAGATTTAGCAAAAGTGTTACGCATGAGCGTACTTTTGAGTTGTTTGAACATGAACTCCAATTGCGTGGAGATACCGACCAGAGTTGCCATGAAAGCCAACGATTTTGGCCCCCGTAATTGGGAATGAAAATTCAGTTCCATCTTCAACTCCAAACGGTCCATAACTTCTTAAATTAGTTTCCAAAGTCAGCGATCGAATCACAGTGGCGTCAATTCCCCAATTATGTAAATCACCATAGAACCCATAAATTGAAATCACATATTCATCTGGATAATCTAAAACAACCTGAAAATAAAAGAAAAAAACCAAAATAAATTGAAATTCGCTTTCTGTGAAATTGCTCTGCCTCAACACTTCTAACTGACCTCCGATATAGAACCATCGTTTCCACCATGTTTTGGGGACCAAATTGATTCTCCATTCTGATCATATTCAATCTGAATTGAACAGATCCACTCTCTCTCGTAAACCACGAGCCGTCTGATCGTCGAATAAACTCCGTCGTCCCACGCCGCCGGATTCCGGTAACCGTCGTGTTCCTGCAGGAAGAAAACGTCGAATCAGAAAATTAACTGAAACTTCACGATCGCTTCCAAATAGAATTTAGCATACCATTTATTATTATTATTATTATTATTTGTAGATTTGTGAGTGCGAAGTGCTATGATTCGGAACGAGGAAGATATAATTTCGAGGGAAGGAGAATTTGAAGGGGTAGAAAAGGTAAAGGGCCAACCGCCGGCGAATATCATATAATATTAGCCGGCGTTAAAATGTGGTGCTTGTTTGGGATTGGGCCGGCTATTTTTACTATAATTATTAATTAAGATTGTGCTTTTTACAATAAAATAATACAATTTCATTCAACAACGCCATCATTGCAATTTGCAAGGTAGATTTGATGAGGAGCGGAAAAGGATCCAAACTTTTCATTTGTAAAGATTTAATTTTTCCGTTGATGTTTATGACTGCAATTTTTCTATATACGAGAGGTTGAGTGTTTAATTTTTAGTTATAATTCATTCCAAAGTTGATTTTGCAAAATTACCTCTCTCTACGTTAATTATCACAATTCTTTTTAAAAAACCACGGCCAATAAAATTATTATGGTAAACCTAAATATAGCTGATCAACCGATTAAAGACCAATTTCCAACTAAGAAGTTATGAGTTTGAATCTCAACCCCACTTGTAGTAATAAAAAAAATATAACTATTTACATTGGTTCCACAAATAAAGTACATGACCGTACAATCTATTATTGAATCAACACTCCGAGGAGTCCAATGGCATCGAGATAAAGACCAGATCTACCATGGATGCCGATGATCTTCATCCCAATAGTTGGAAATGAAAATTTGGTTCCATCTTCAACTCCGAATGGACCATAAGTTCTTTTGTTGGTTTTCAAAGTTAATGATCGGATCAAAGTGGCCGTAGATCCCCACTGACGAAGATCACTGTAGTAGCCATGAATCGAGACGAGATGCTCACCTGGAAATTCAAAAACAACCTGCGATTTCAATACAAAAGACAAGTTGAGAATTTTCCTAAACAAAATATGGGCAAAAGAATCTAAAGTAGGATTTTGGTTAACCTCTGATCGGGATCCTCCATTTCCACCGTGCTTCTTGGACAACATTATCGCCCCATTATCAGCTTCATATTCAATTTGAATGGAGTCGATCCACAATCCATGATGAACCACCAACCGTCTGATTGAAAAGAATGTCTCATGCCATGAGTCTCCACCTACACCTCCATACGGTCCAAAGCTACGGTGTTCGGGTTCGGGCTCGAGTTGCAATTGAGGCTCAGGCTTACTTCTGCATGAAATGAAACAATAAGTTCATTGTAATTACCCATTTAAGTCTTCATTCCGTTGAGTAGGCCATATTTGCTCTCATATCAAGAACAAACTACAAAAATAACAAAATAAAACTATGATATTACTTTATACCATATATTTTTAGATTTATGTAAACAATACAATTTAGAAGTAGAAACTGATCATGAATCTGCTATTTTGCATATTTGAAATACCACACAATATATTTTATTATTTTGTAAGAGTATAAAAGTGATTTAACAAACTTACTAACATTATATGACTTGTACCTCTAATAACACAATATTGTTAGTATAGAAGATGAACAAATTTAAAATATTATCGAATTGATAACCATTCACATCATGCTTTTTAACATCCATTGATTGAAAAAATATAATTTTTAGAGAACAAAACTGAAACTTGATAAAACGAGAGAAAATTGAAAAGTAACACACACGACAAAATAGATTTATATAATTAGCAAAACTGTAACATATAGTTGCTTATATATTTTGCATCATAGAGATAGAAGATGGTATCCCGAAAAAATTAAAAGAATAAAGATGGGCATACTTTTGAGGTGTTCCCAAGTAGAGTCCAATTGCATCAAGGTACCAACCAGATCTTCCATGGAAGCCCACAATTTTCGTCCCCATGACTGGAAACGAAAATTTGGTTCCATCCTCAACTCCAAATGGCCCATAAGTTCTTCTATTAGTTTCTAGAGTCAACGATCGAATCACAGTGGCCGCATTTCCGAAATTATGTAAGTCACCATAGTAGCCATGAACCGAAACAAAATACTCGTCTGGAAATTCTAGCACAACCTACAATTCCATTTGAATCCCATGACTTCATTCAATTCTACTTCTCTGCTTTTTTTCCCCTTTAAATTGTTCTAAATTGCTAAGGATTACCCATGTCAGGAATTTCAACAAACAAGTTATGGGCAAAGTAATTTAACAGGGAATTTGGGCTAACCTCTGATCTGGAGCTTCCATCTCTGCTACCATGCTTCTTGGACCATACCAACTTCCCATTCTTATCCTCATATTGCATTTGAATGGAGTGGATCCATAGTTCATGACTAATCACCAGCTGTCTGATCGCCCGAAAAACACACTCCCAAGGATCCCCACCTTTGCCTCCACACGGTGCCAAACTGAAGTTCTTGAGCTGGTTTCTGCATAAGAGAATCCAAATGAATTCATTCGTGCTCATATTTTTGCAGCATACAAAGTAGAAGATTATAAACGCACTTTGGAATTGGCTGTATGTAGAGTCCAATCGCATCGAGGAACCAACCACACCTGCCATGGAAGCCGACTATCTTCGCCCCCATAACTGGGAATGAAAATTTGGTCCCCTCTTCCATCCCAAATGGGCCATAAGTTTTTCTATTGGTGTGGAGAGTCAAGGAACGAATCACATCGGCTGAAATTCTCCACTTGCGTATGTCGCCGTAGTAGCCACAGATTGAAATTAAATACTCGTTCGGATAATCTAAAACAACCTACAATCATCAGTCGGTTGAAGAAAAAACTAAAGAATTAGACAAATTCATGCAATCGCGATTCAATTTAAGGTTTGGTGAATACCTCAGAAGTGTAACCTTCGTTTCCGCCATGCTTGGAACCCCAATCTGATTTCCCATTCTTATCATACTCAACATGAATTGAACAGATCCACTCTCTGTGATTAATCAGAATGCGTCTGACGGTGGAATAAACTCCGTCATTCCAAGGACTCCCACCTTCTTCGGCCCCACGAATCTCAATCTTCACCGTCGTCTTCGGGGAACCATCGTCGTCTTCCTACACCAACAAAAAAACGGTGAATCAGAAATTGTCTGCAACTTCATCGTAATCGTTTTTTTCTTAACACAGCTAATACTTACCATCCTTTGTTAGTAGCGACTGCAAAATCAGGATTAGCGACAAGGATCAGACGAAATAATAAGGTTTGGTTTCAGGATTAAATTGGATTGACGGTAAATTTGAACACAGTACAGAAGGCGTGGAGAAAGAAGAGTTTACGAGTGGAGACCCACATCGGTGACTCTGATCCATGGGAGAAAATTTTGACGATTCTACTTTCTTGGATTCGATTCCTTTCATTACCTTCTTTGGGGGGATGGAATCCCGTTAAATACGATAAAAGAGAAGTATGAAGAAGAATTTTCCTTCAAATTCTTTTTACTAATTTTTTTTTCCTAGTTGTTCTTTTATTTTGTTAAAAATAACCAAGGCACGAATGAGTATCGACTCGTACTTTAATGGTTACAGTTGAGTTAAGTTCATCTTTACAAACATTTTGTACTAATTAAAAAAAATAGCTAACCTAAATATAGTATAAGTTAAGAGACTTATGATATAAAATAAAAATAAAAAGTTAAAAGGGACTTATAGTCGTAGGTCACGAGTTCGAATCTCCCTGTCTCACGTGTTGTACTAAAAAAAGAGGGCAAAAGAGGTTTTAGGATTCGATTAAGTTGGATTAATTGTAAATGTAAACATAGTAGGAGGGGAGGTGCGTACGAAAATAATTCGATTCTACTTTCTTAGATTTGCACTACAAATCCAACCATATATATGATATTATGGTTATCACTACACTACAAGGCTAAGTAGAAAATTCATGTTTAAAATGGATTTGCATTGGATCCGCATTGGGTCCGAGGATCTATTATCGATAATAAACCTTCTTAGTTGGATTTATGAACGCTACGAAATATCTCTAATTTATATCAAATAATTATTAGTTTGGCAATAAAGATTTCGAATTTACATCCAACACTTATTAGGGGGCGCCATATTGTGATAGTTTCATTCGATATTTCTTTTCCTCCGGTTGGATTAGATATCTGATGCCAATTTTGAATTCCTATATTCACATAGGACACTCTTAGATTCATAGGCATTAGATGATTATTTATGTTGCTTATACTTGAAATAAGCTCTCTCTAAGCCTGGAAGATCACGTAAAAACTCATTTTTGATTTTCCGAGAAAGACTTCCCAACTCTGCCTCGAAGTTATGCACTGAAGTGAGCTTGGTCCCCTTTCTACATACCAGAAAAGAAAAAAATTATGTTAGTCTACCGTATATAAGAAGACTATCATATATTTCCATTCTTTTTTTTAATGAATGTTAAAGCTCCCACCTTGAAAACTTCAAGAATTTAACAAAAGTTTATAATATATATGAACTGCTCCTCTCATAATTAATTAGTTTTGAGATGAAACTTCATGAATATTCATATGATATTAGAGCATCGTGCCTACTGCATACCTTTCATGTGGGGCTAGGCAGACATGAATCGAACGATCGCGAAGAGAAGGCATAACGAAAGTCATTCGGGATTGTGTAAGCTGGTGGTGGTAACATGGCCCAAATGCATGCACACTGAACTTGCAACGCCCGCATTCAAAGGCTAATTTGCCATCGCAAGATTTGGCGCACGCACCACAAGCCGAGTACCCCTTTTTGCCCTCTTTCACCAGCCTCAGTGGGTGCTGATGATCTTCAAACTTTGCCGATTTCAAAAATGGATAATCCCCAATAACACATCTTGGATGTGCAGCAAAACTACACAACCTGCACCAGTAGAATGCCCCATCTGCCATTCTCTCTTCTTCACAAATATCACAAAAATATTTATCACTTTCCTCACTTACTCCGTCAAAAAGGTAACGGTAATTCTCCTCATCATCTTCACAACTACTATCATCAGGGAAATATTCGTCACTCTCTTCATCTTCATCTACATCTTCATACCAAGGTTTTAAATAACGTTCGTAGTACAATTTTCCCACTGCTAAAGGCACATTCACAAAGGTGAGGATCAAAGGATGTTCATCAAATCTATTTCTTACTATAGTTGGTAGATGTGCGCATCTTGCATCCAAATAAAATTTGCAGCCATCACATCCAAAGGCTTGTTTGTACTGCAGCCCCTCCCCACAACCTTGGCACTTGTGTCCTTTTTTCCCATTGTGAGGAAACAGAGGATGAAGATGACTTGAATGTGTAAATGGGATTGTAATTGCAGCACATCGAATGTCAATGGCATAGTGGCATTTTGCACAGTGATAGGCGAAGCCATGACAATATTGAACACAAACAGCACAGGAGAATACAACATTTGGGATATAAATCATACTCAACTCGTGCTCATGGAGTGAGGAATTCTTGTGTCGTCTTGGCAATCTTGCACATTCTTGGTGTAGATGGAAGCCGCACTTTGAACAGCCATAAGATTGAGATTGATTTGATATGTATTGCATGCACCCATCACAAATCCTATCCATATCCTCACTGGAGCAAAGGGTCAAGTCATGCTCATGGCTAAAATGTGCAAGTACCCCATTTTCTTTCTCCACCAAAGCACCAATGTCAGAATCGTGGGATGAAGAATGTGTGGATGGATGATGATGATCATCATCATATTCAGACATTTTGAGAGTTGCACATTTTTTATGGGCGAAAAGTTGGCAGATGCTACAATACCAAGGAAATTCATCACCCCCTGGCCTGCCACATAATTGGCAGTCATAAGGAAACAACTTGCGGAAATTGGTGAAGTCGTGTTGGTGTTTGAAGGATGACAAACACGCTACATGAAGATTGAAATCACAGGATGGGCAGGAGTATAAGAATTTGGTGCATTCGTTTGTGCAACTATAGCAAAAACTCTTCTTAATTGGTCGGGGAAAAAGAAACAGGGAATGCTCGTGAAAATCAAGATTTAGAATCTCTCGATGCAGCTCAGCACATTGTTTGTGAAAATAGGAATCAGAACGAGCGCAAAAGTAAGTAGAAGTAGAACCTGAAGTTATAAGCAGTTGGCACACAAGGCAAACAACTTTTTTGTGTATCCTCTGTTGCTGTTGCTGAAAAGTTAATGGATGGGGATGGGCGAAATGTCGATACTGTCCGGTACCGCCCGGTATCTGTTGTAAGCCGCTGGCTTTAGTATCGACGATGGCGCATTGAAGGTCGATTATGAAGCTGCAATAGCGGCATTCGTAAAGTTTTCCGAATGGCTTTTGGGAGCAGCAGTTGCAAGAGTTGTTGCTCTCGGTGATAAACAGAGGACCGTCGTGATGGGGATGGAAGGGGGTGTGGATTTCCAAAGGGAATTCGATGCACGATTGATGGAGATGGAAATTGCAATCGGAGCAGCTGAACGCCGGTGGAGACCATGGTTTGTGGCATCTCGAGCAGCAAACGTCGCCGTCGAATTTTCCATACCTGTAGAACATCAATGGGTGCTCGTGCCGGTTCTTCACAATATCAAACTCCGTTTTGGTCTCTGATTTCATCTCCTTAACCAATGTTTCCAGCTTCAACATTCTTGTTGGTGGACTGCAACCTAATCAGCACATATTATTCAATTATGAGAAAGAAACGGGTGAGAAAATGTGGCGAATGGACCATGGAACTATGAAAAAGCTAAATCCACAGGCAAACCTAATACAATAAGCTTACAATGATAACATAAATAGCATTTACCGGACCTAACTAGACCCACTACTCCATTAAGGCAGTGCTCTCCTAAATTTAGAACTCATCATCCCACCTCATTAATCCCACCACATTTGGTACCACTAAGTTACCATCAACTTTAGTTTTGAATCATTTAGAAAATAAACAAGTAAAAGACACAGCGAAGAAATTGCATATTTGGGAAACTTATGGTATGGAACGAGAAACTCACCTTTAATTTACACTGACTCGTCTTTGGCCTCCATTGTTACTGTGAGAAAGAGTAAAGAGCAAAGAGCGAAGAGCGGGTAGTGGACATGGACTTGACTTGGGAGAGAGTGAAAGAAAATCAGAGAGTGAGATTTGCGCTGAGCCACACATAAAACTCAATAGACTTTTATTTTGTTTTTCTTCTTCAACAAATTATTAATTCTTTTTTAAATATAACACGTAACTCACAGTCTTTTATTGGAGATATATGCTAATGATTGAGAATATTAAGTTATTGTCTTTTAAAAAATACATTTAGTTATTTTATGGCAAAAAAAATTACTTTTAAAAAATCGATATATTTGAAAAAGAAAAATATTACAACAAAAGAAAAAATCGATATAATTATTGAATTAGCGGTTTAAATGGACTAGTTCATAGCTGGCCTAATCTAAAGAACAAAGATATATATCAAATCAAATTTATGGAAGAGTTGAATCAGATTGGACGAATCAAACATTGACCTTAAATCAAGGTTGGATTGAGCTTAAGCCCACTTCTGAGCTTCAAATATGATAATAAAAATACTAGAAGGTGGAAAAATTATTAAATGAGTCTACGGTCTAGGAATTCGAAAAGACTTAGATTTAGAAGAAAAGAAAAAACTGCATCAATTTTTTATTTGTTATTTTTTTTTTTTTTTGGATATTTATGAGTTTCTCGAGAGTTAGGACATGTATTAAATTTGAAAGACATAACAACCACCATTTAATTGGACAACATTAATAATTGATAAGGAGTAGATTGAAATCGTACAAGTGGGAATTGATGAGTTAATTGAGGGTTTTGGGGTTGATGTTCAGAATTGGGACAACTTTGATCCCAATAGAGTCGAGGTGCCAACCGGACGTGCCATGAAAACCAACGATCTTAGCCGGCGTCGTTGTCGGAAACCAAAAGCTTGTTCCTTCTTCATCACCATATGGCCCATGAATCCTTTTGTTGCTTTCAAAAGTGAGTGATCGAATCAGATAGTGGCCTGAAACTTCGCCCATGTATCCATGAATTGAAACTAGGTACTCATCTGGATACTCCAGCACCACCTGAGATTTTCCTTTTTTAATTATTTGTCGTTTACAAATCTAAACATTATGCAACTAATTACGTTTTTTGTATTGGAATTAATTAAATCAATTTATTGAACGAGTAACAATTTATGGTAACTTGTATTCGTAAAATAGGTGATCTAATTAGGACCCATAAATTTTCAATTTGTGGTGTGTCTATAGCCTCCTATTCCCATCTAATAGAGAGTATTGCATATCTTTAATCTAAACAATTTGAAGAAGGCCCAAACTACGTAGATGTTGTTACATAAAATTTGGAATCTCAACTCATATCATGTAATTCGAAATAATTTTGTATTCTTTAGTCTACTCCATGCATAGATCAATTCTCAAAATTGTATAAAAATTTTGAAAACAATTCAAACAAGTTTTTTTAAAAGGTCTAAAACAAGTTTAACTTTTGTTCTTTTCATTTCCCATTTGTTCCAAAATATAAATAAGAGATTATTTTATCGTATAAAAAAGGTTGGAATCAAAATTAAGATACAAAAACCCCCTAATTACCCGTCTCTCGATCTCTACCAAATTCTTATTCTTAATTCTTAGAAGATGAAGATGAAGATGAAGATGAAGATGAAGATGAAGATTACCGAAGCGAGAGTGTTGCCAACATTTCCGCCATGCCTATCTGACCAACCATTGTCCTCATACTCAGTCCGAATGGAATCGATGCGTCCATATCCGTAAGTAATCTCCACTTGCTTTATCGCCGAGAAGACGCCGTCGTCCCATTCGTCTCCTCCGACGCCGCCGTGCCGTCCCACCGACATCACCGACTTCCTCCACCCCTCCCCCTCTTCACCTTCTTTTCCACCTCCCTGCATATCGCCCATATTCCCAATACTTCAATATCTCATATTGTAATAATTCATATTAATTTCATCTTATTCTTAAATCTAATTGATTACCATTCTATATTTTTTTAAGTAGAGAGTAGAGAGAGAGAGATTGAGATGGAATCAAAAGTTGATCATGTGAACAACAAAAGTACACTACTGTGTACTCATCCAAAATCAAGTTTAGCTGAGCCACACGTTTTACCATTCTATTTCTAACCACAAATTTTCATGATGGGGGAGATTTTTCTAACCTAGTAGTTTTTTTCTAATTCTTAAATCTAATTAATCACCTGATAATTTCCGATGATAATCAATCAATTTGCAGAGAAGTTATATCTTAATCTGAAATTTTCAGCGGCTCAGGAGAAGACTGTTGGGAATGGAGACAAAAACTAAAAGAAATGTTGTATAAATTACTGTAGCATAATTATTGGGCCAAACACACGTAAAAGCCCAATTATTTCTTTCTTCTCCATGAAGTATGTTGCCCTCTTTCTTTAAATATATATATGAAGTTTATTTTACCACCCACCCGATAGATTAACACAGAAGCAAAAAAAGGGGGAGCGGTGGCCATTTTTACCGGCAGAGAGAAAGAAGAGAGAAGAAAGTGAGATATTGGACTGTATTGTTTGTTTTCTATCCCTATCTCGTATTTTCTTTATTGCATTGATAAAACTGTGACACAGTTATGGAAAAAATACTAATTAGACCATGTGGATTGCTATTGCTTGAGAATCAGTGATATTTTATATTACTGCGTATATATATTTTTACCAACAAAGACAGATTTCTGGTAATTGTCTTTCTTTGTTAATTCCTTTTCTTCGTTTGGCTTTTGACGCTATTTGATGATTGGTGTAACGCCTGCAGTTGGGAATTAGGATGCTGGATTTCAAAGAGTTGGAGGTTTAGGGAGAGGTTTTAGGTTAAAATTGTATTAATCACAATGTTAATCGAAACACAATATCGAACTCGAAGGGAGCGAGATGAGATTGAAATTGTGTCTTTTCTAGGTTCCGTTCGATTCCTTTCTTTTTCGTCCTTCTATTATTTCCGATTAGTTCTTGGAAGTCGAGCGTATGATCAAATTTCTTTATGGAATTTGAGATTGTCACTACAAGCCAACCACATGAGATTATGGTTGCTACAAAATTGATCACTTGATGTCGAAAATTATTTTGCCTTGGAGAATCTGTTTGTGGTAACATTGCCCAACAGCGTGGACATTGAACTTGCAGCGGCGGCATTCATAGGCCAAGTTTCCGGCACAAGATTTCCCACAGTGCCCACAAGGAGAGAAATTCATCTTCCCCTCTGCCACCAGAGCCAACGGATGCCTGTGAGTTTCATATAATCCGTACTTGAGCCATGGATATTCCCCAAGAACACACTCAATGTGGACAGCGAATTGGCACATCTTGCAGTGGTAAAAACACACGCTGGGATTCCTCTCTTCTTCGCATACATCACAGTAATATTCCCCGCTTTCGTCTTCCGCAGAGAAACTCAGATCCAAAAAATGAGCATCGTACCTGCTTCTTGCTTGGAGCGGTAGAGTTGCGCATCTGTAGTCCAAAGAGAAGTTGCTGCAGCAGCCATCGTGGCATTCGAACACCGTGTTGTTGCTTTGGCCACAGCCATGACATGTTTGATTCACCATGTTGTACTGTGCAAGAGACAGCAAATGCCGGTGGCTTGGATGCTTGAATTGCTTGGTTGGGGTCAGAGCGCATCGTATGTCGAGCATGAAGCGACATTCTTCGCAGTGGTAGGCATAGCAGCCATGGCAGAACTGCAGACAAGCATTACACTGGAATACGACATCTTGGGTTGGAATGAGGGTTAAAGGATGTTGGTGAAGCAAGTGCCAATTCATTACTGGCAAATCAGCACAGATTTTGTGGAGAAAGAGATCGCAGTTCACACAACCGTAATATGGCATAGCGGCTGAGATGTGTCGCATACAACCGTGGCAGCGGTTATCATCATTGACATTGCCATTGCCATTGCCATTGCCATTGCCATCCTCTTCCTCTTGGTTGTAGAGGACTAACTCATGTTCACAATTTGAATCCAGAATGTGGATGGCTGAAGCCCCATCTCTTAGGCTGGTGATGCCGTTGAAGGGCAAAACAGCACCAACTTCTTCAAACATTTTCTTTGCAGCACAGCTCAAATGAATGACATAGCTGCATTTAGAACAATTGTATGCTGCAAACTGCGGTTCGACTTTCTTTCTGCAGATTTCGCAGCGTAAATTGTTCGGGTGAGAGTATTTGAAACTGAGAGAACACTCGTGTCCTACAACCCGGAGGGACAATGGCAACTCAGCGCATTCCTTGTGAGCCAAAAGATGGCAGATGGTACAGAACCACGGAAAATCATAGCTATTCCAACCACATAACAGGCACTGAAACCCCATTCTATTCCGGAATCTGGTGAAATAGTGTTTGTGATGTGAAGATAACAGACACGTTACATGGAGATTGAAATCACATTCAACACAATTGTACACGAACGACGAGCATCGGTTCTTGCAGGTATGGCAGAATGGTTCATCCCAGCGATGGGGAAAAAGAAACAGCGGGTGGGGGTGGAGTTCGAGATGCAATTTCTCACGCGGCAGCTCGGCACAGGCTTTATGAAAGCGGATATCACAGATAGGGCAGAAGTAAGTAGGACCCGAAACAAGGAGCATCTCACAAAGATGGCAAACAACCAACTTCCTCCTCCCAGTGATCTGCTCCTCGAGGATCAATGGATGTGGATGGGTGAAATGTTGATATGTTTGGCCGGCCACCAATTGCAAACCGCTCTGTTTTGTGTCTGAGATAGCGCATTTGATGTCGATGACAAAACCGCATGGGGAGCAGGTGTAGATGCAATCGCGGGGCCGCTGCCAGCAGCAATGGCAATGGTCGTGGTTGATAGCGGCATGAGAAAGAAGATGGTTGGGGTGAAATCGGCTGCGGAGTAGAGGAGGAAGGTGGATGCAGGATTGATGAATATAGAAGTTGCAGGTGGAGCAAATGAAAGCTGGGGGATACAATTCTTTGTTGCAGCCACAGCACAACATGCCTTCTCGGCAGTTTATTCTTCCTTCCATGAAGGTCAATGGGTGCGGGTGCGGCTCTTCCAAAAGCTTCAACTTCACCATCTCTCCAAATTCCTCTTCTGCACTGCATCAAATCAACCAGGTTTCATTTCAATCAAATTATTATAGTTTTGTAAATAACATAGTCAACACCAACGCATTTCTTTTCTGGAACCCACATTAAAATGCTGTTGGTATTTGATCATTCGCTTTTCATCACTTAATATATATATTTTTACAGTTGTATTTATGATATTTTTTTTTCCATAAAGTCTATGTGTTGGGCTTGCTGTGGTTATATATTGAGTCTATTTAGTCTTTTAATTTTAAAGAATTTTCGTTTTTGAATTTTGAATAACTGATGTCTGAATTTATTTTATTTATAAAGAGAAAGGATCTCTATTCCGAATTTATTGGATAAATGGTAAAAAAATAATTGGAGACAGATATTAAAGAAGAAATGGTACAGATATAAGGATCAGCGGTTCCACACCCATCTACTTGGAATCGAAAAGTCCAAGTTCATGTGCTGTGATCGAGAAGCATTCAATGCTCGATCTCATCTTAACGTGAAAGGATACTATTTAATATTGAAAATCGTAAAGAAAAAAAAAGAAGTTAAATATTTCAAATTAATATGAGAAGTTTAGTGAGTTGAATGGAAACTCAATTATTTGTATAAAGAATTTACATTCATGAAATACAAGTGCATATGCCTAACACAAATTTAGTTGGATGCTTCAACTTTTTCTTTTGCAGTGGGAGATTCAAATTCTCGTGCTTCTTTGAGAAACGTAGATATGAGTTTACAACTCTACTTTTTGGGATTGAGATATCGGAAGGAAGTGGAATCCAATTGCATCAAGGTACCAATCACACCTCCCATGAAAGCCGACGATCTTGAGTCCGGTAGTCGGGAACGAAAACCTGGTTCCACCTTCAGCTCCATAGGGACCCAAAGTTCGTTGGTTGGTTTCAAAAGTGAGTGAGAAAATGACCTTATATGTTCCTATATAGCCGCAGCAACCATGAATTGAAATAAGATACTCATCGGGATAGTTTAGATCAACCTGTTTGAAAATGAGTTTAGAAAAAGAGATATAAAGTCTAATGACAGAATTTGACAAAATTTGGATCCTTCGAGTCCTTGCTATGCATTCTATTTTAAAATAGAATTGATTTCGGCACGGGTAAAAGTGATTTTTAGGTCTGAAAGATAGAAATACCAGGATGAAATTTTGTTCGCCCTCGTTTCCGCCATGCTTGCCAAGCCAAATTGGGTTGCCATGGTTGTCAACGTATCGGATCTGAATGGCGTCGATACACTCTCCTCCATAGAAAATTTTGATGGCTTTGATGGTGGAGTAAACCGATCCGTCGTCCCAACTGCGGCCACCCACACCTCCTTGCGCTTTAAACGACAACGTTCTGCCTCGCCTTTCGTCTGTTGCCTGCACCAAACAACGTCAACCTCACTCAGCCAATTTTAACCAACAGCACAAGACATACAGAAACCGACACGTCGTCATCTCCTACCATTTTCTGTTAGCTAAAGATTGGGATTTGGGAGAAACACAACAAATTTTTGTGAAATATAACATCTAACTGGGAACCAACTTGTTGATCCAAGCTGTCGACCAAAATATATATTATTTTTTTAATAAGAAAAGAAATGAATATATATATATATATATATATATTCCTCTTATGAATTGTCAACGAGTTTGTTGCATCGTTCTTGCTGTAGAGGTAAGAGAGACGCCCACGATCTCTTTAGTTAACTCTGCCTCTCCTATTTGGTCAAGTTTGCTCCAAAATTTTAATTAATTAATTTACATATTTTTTCAGTACAATAATTTGGAGATACTAGAGATTGAACCTCCATTGAGTACGTGCCAATTATAATTAAAAGTTAAGTAATCATACACTATATGTATATATATATATACATACATAAATAATATATACATACATAAATAAGACAACTGGTTTATAATAATTGTATTTGTTATCATTAATTAAACAATGGTGATAAATTTCAAAAAGTAAAATTTTTAATAATAAATTATAATATGTATAATCTTATCATACCGCCTATCATATAAAAAAATTAATTTGATTATTACTCTATTGTAAGAATATGATTTTTTAGAAAAACACATTATTTTAAAATTAGTCCGACTAATATCAAAGCGAGCATGTATATTGTACTAAAAAAAAAGACATACTCGTTTTTTATTTAAAAATTAATTAAAACATGCCCATCGCCCATTGGGGTAGAAAATTCAAAAATTCAGGAAACAAAAATAAATTTGAAATTTCTTTGGTGAAGAAGAAAAAAACAAAAAAAACAACTCGCAGGACTTGATCTTCGTTGGTACCATACTCGGTAGGGTCGCACCCCATTTAATATTTTAGTCATTTTAATAATCTTTATATATAATTACATTAATCTATGTTAATTTTTATAAATACTTAAATTAAAAAAAATTCCAAGCACAATAAACCAATTATCCATTTTTTTTCTTTCTTTGAAAAAGTTTATATTTTTTAAAGAATTAAAATATTTATAAATGTTTTCTTTCTGTTGCCATATCTAATGATAACTGGGATTGGAAATATGTTCTCTATTCCATTGTTTGTCCTACCTCACTTTTTTATAATATATATATACATTAAAACAATTTTATTTTTTCGGGGAGAAATTAAAACAATTTTATTATTCTCTGCATATAATATATACACTAAAAAAATTGTATCCTTCCGTACCCAACCATGTAAGTCAGTTTTATTATTAGAAAAAAAATTTAATTGAGAAATAAATTAAAAAAATAAACGAGAAAATTTTCCCACAGAAAATCCAATCCCTACAAATTCCTCGTGGGAAATCTCTCTGAGAATTAAATGGGTGCGGAGATAGGACCACGTCCTCTGAACATCCCTACTTGTGGGAGGATTTTGGAAAACAGTATTTAATCTAGAACATGTGTTTTTGCATGTCAAATAATCACGCAAAAAATTTTCAAAATCTTTTTACAGTAAAGTATATTTAGAATCATAGAATTCTGAGTGTTGATACATTTTGTAAAGCATAATACAAGTTTTAGTCCAAAATAATAATAATAAGAAAAAATAAATAAATAAATGATGCGCCTACTGTTTTGAGATTGTGTAGGGTCCAATTGCATCAAGAAATTGACCAGACCTACCATGGAGGCCGATGAACTTAGTTCCCGCTGGGAATGAAAATTTAGTTCCATCTTCTTCCCCATACGGCCCACAACTTCTCCTATTGGTTTCTAAAGTCAGTGATCGGATTACAACCAGTTCACTTCCCCATTTCCTTAGATCACTGTAGTGCCCACGAATCGAAACAAGATACTCATCCGGATAATCAAAAACAACCTACAATCACACATATCACAAAATGAATCTCAATCTGATTGATTAAGGTAACAAAATTGTTTTGGGCTCACCTCAGATCTAGAGCCGCCATTTCCGCCGTGGTTTCTGGACCAGATGAGGCCGCCATTGTTGCTCTCATGAAGAATCTGAAAGGCGTCGACCCATCCTTCATGATAAACGGCGAAACCTCTGATGGAGGCGAAAACTTTTTCTTCCCAAGGACTACCTCCTCTGCCTCCGTATGGTCCCAATTTCCCTCGAGTCCATCCACTTCCATTTTCCAAATAATTAAATTTCAGTTAAAAAGGGTTAATTTGACAATAGGAAGAAATGGGCATGTAAAAAGTATCTTACTTTTGAATTGGGTGTTGGTGAAGTCCAATCCCACGATAGTAAAAGCAGCGGTTGGTGGAAGCCAGCTTCCCCTGCACCGTCCCCCGGTGGTAGCAATGCCCAACGGCGTGCACATTGAACTTACAAACGCCGCATTCAAACGCCAAATCGTCGGAGCAAGATTCACCACACGCCGCGCAATCGCCGCCCTGTTCCACCCCCTTCCATTTCATCGCCAGATTCAGCGGATGCCGGTGAGCTTCGTGCATCTTGGACTTCACATGTGGAAACTCCCCAACAACGCACTCCAAATGCGCACTAAAACTGCACTCCCTGCAACCGTAGAACCAAACCTGCGGCTCCCTTTCCAATTCGCACACATCGCAGTAATATTCCTCTCCTTCTTCCTCCACGAATCCCAATTCCAGAGGATGCGC